TTTTCGTTTTCTTAATTTCATTGTTTCTTTTTATCCAGGTTAGTGATTTTTAAAATAATTTATTATAATATTCAGATTTATTTTGTGTATTTGAAGATAATATTGTTACAATTCCATCAAATTAATTCATCTTCCTGGTCTTTGGGTTGCCGCATAAGGTTTTATAAAGCTTAATATTTTGGCTTAATTTTTACAGCCGGCGACCTTTCTTACTTGGGAGAGAAATCATAAATCATATTTGTCGTTTAATAAAGCTTGAATATTATTAAGAGTTTATATATATATTTTTTTAATTATTTCTTCAATTATTGTCCTAAACTACTGGATAAAATTTTGTCAAAATTTTACGTGGAATACTATTGAAACTTTCTCTCATTTTCGTTATTTATACATTGAATCATATATTTATTTTGATTTGGCATTGAGATGCTGGTTTTTTTATTTGGGAGACATTATATATTATTTGGTTTATTTGTGATACAATCTTTCCCTGTGCAGCATGGTCCTCAAGTTAAACCTTTTGTACATTTTCAGTGTATGGAGTGTCACTTCATTGGAGGTGGTTTTGGTGGTCGCGCTGTGATCGTCGGAGGGTTTGGCTACGGCTATGGAGGAGGTTTTTATCGACCACCACCTCCTTTGTTCTATAGACCACCTCCTCCATTCTTCTATAGACCCTACTACTAATATTTGTGAATCGAATAACGACGTATTTAAATTTGGAATTGTTGTAAAATATTATTGTGATTTTCGTAGATATGTTATTTGTTGAAATCTTAATAGATCAATAAATTTTTATTTTTTTTTATGGAAAAGTTAGTTTTTTCTTAAAACTTATTGAGTTACCGTACATGATGGATTTGGGTTCCGCGCCACAATTACCCTTAGATTATGCGTTACAAAGGTTGGCGTAATATTGAATTATATGAATTTAGAACTTACCAACTCGATGCCCCGTTTACAGCAGATGCCTGGTCACTCTGTCGGTGTCAGTCGAGTCAAATAAATCACTGTCATAAAGTTTAAAGGTGCCAGCAATGCTGCACTCCTAACGCACCCGATGCACCGTTTCCCGTAAGCGCGCTATAGGCGAGTCATTATCGGACCGAACGCGAAACCGTAAACTTAACAATCCAACTAGAAAATCTACACACCTAATTTGTGCTTTCCGTTTTACTTTCATCAACTTCCGATGTTGACACTTAACTCTCGATTGCCGACTGCCGATTGCTGCGGCGAGGGAATGTAGGAAAAAAGTACCCTCTTGTGTGGGAGAATAAAAATGAGTCAATCTACCTTCGTTAAATCGCGTATAATGAACCGCGAAATTCAAGTCATTGTTGATAACGAATTATAGTGCATCTGTCCCGAACACTTATTTTCTAATTAAGCTAGTAGAGTTCTAGAGTGCAGGAATTGTTGTGATGTTTGTGTGTCTTAGTTGATTGTTGAATTAAAACAACATTTGCCCACATAGTATATTTAAACACATAACATATTTCAATACACAAGTTATAGTAAGAATATCGATATGTATTATTAACGATACATTTATAAATAAAATCCATATTAATTTAATGCTTTTGCACTTAGGCCTTTGTTGGAACCGAACATTATGACGTCACAGGGAACAAAGACCTTTAGTTATGGCACAAAAATATTTTTTTTTATATTTCCACTATTTTGTAGTCATTCAGGCGCATCAGGTGTTTCACAGACAGTGGTGATATGCCAAATCTAAAACATATCTTTATCTTTTAGATCTTTTTCCTGCTAATTCGTCCCCTAGGCACCCAGCATGTTAAAAGACTTCCCAGAAAAGAGACAGCGAAAATATATCTTACTATATTAAGAAGTAACTTACATCTAGATGATATGTTTGTTTTTTTTTTAATTATAATTATAATTTTAACACCGATTTATCGATTATAATTCTAATATAATAAATGCCTCAGCCAGCTGGATATGTATTGGTTTCAATTTAAAAGCTTACATCTAATAATACATATAGATTAAAATTTAAAAGATTAAACACATGAAATGCTAACAATATTAATTAGAATATATTTTAGGAATATTTTTAAATAACATTCATAAGTATTTCTTTTAAAACATCTATATGTCTATTCTAAAATCTACACACGTAATAGAAATTAAATTTTATTCTAAAACATGATATTTAATCGATTTTTAATGAGTTTACTCAATGTTAAATCGAAGCCTTTTTTATTTTAATGAAAAGGCTGTTATCGGTTGACCATTTTCCAAAGCAATAGTTTTCGGATTTTTAAACTTTAAAATTACTTTTATTATTTTATATATATTTCAAATAAAAGTAATTTGAAAATCTAATTCAACATTTTTTTCAGAGAAAATATTACGTATTTTAATTTATTTCCAATTTCAAAATAAATATTAAATTTTTTATCGTAATATTTTCTCTGAAAGAATTCAAATTCCCTTAACTAATAAAATACAATTAATACATAAGTAAATAAAAATATTAGAAAATAATCCAAAACATTTTTAGTGTATTTCATATATTTATTAGTCAAGGGTTAAATCCATACTTATCGTAACATGTTATTTTAACAGATTTAACAAAAACAATTCAGTAAATGTTATGATATCTCTAAACAATTAGAATCGGAGACATGTTACGCAAAGTATGTCGTAGTTACATTTTAATGGAGACGGAAAGGTCCGATGCGTTTCTCTCCGGCGGTATGTTGGACGTATTCACGTATTTGATCAGTAGCCACCAAGCCGATGCAAACCAGAGACTCTTTGAAGTATCCGCAGCTCTGAATACACAAATTACACACCTTGTGTAAGTAGCCTTATATTTAAATGACTACTAACATACAAGCTTATGTGTTCCAGACTACGTGTTGTGTCATCAATTGAGATCCATTATGCCCGTTTTGAAGTTATGTTATAACAAACATCCATCAATCCCAACTTTTGCATTTATAATATTAAAATAAGAAATGAGATAAAGATACTGTATTTGTTTAAGTATGAAAATCTTATAAATTTTCTATTAAATCCTTTTGATTAGTTACTTACGAAAATGAGAGGGTCGTGTTATTTCAAAGAATAAAGAAGCAACGAACGCTTTTAATGAATTAAAAGTTTTAAACAAAATTCAGTACAAAAGTAAGACAACAAGGAAGATGTTAATTAAATGAGTTCTTTTGAAGACCTCTTTTACTTACTTTGAAGGTTTATTAAAATGAATGGAAACGGCAAATAAACAAAATGTTTTTAGCAATGAAACTCAATGCCTTTTAATAAAATCATAACAAAAATAAAGAATCAACTCTGACGAAATGATGATATAAATTTGTGGTTTTTATAAAACTTGATTAATGATAAATATGAAAAAAAAGCCTTATCTACAGGTAACAAGGTTGAGTTTAGAGTGTACCTTGCGTGGTTTCTGTCGGTGCCGGCGTTGCATGATGCAGCAGAGGCCGCGAGAGATGTCACACTCGCTGGACACATTGCAGTCGTCGTTGTATTGCTTATGACCGATAGACGGGGGTCGGCACACACGGATCTCACCTACATTCATACAATATTTTAAGCCTAACCTTTACCCCTCAACATTTACTACCCCATAAATTTTACGCCCTTGTGGTGCATGTCAACAGATCACAGCAAAGGTCGCCCATGAGCTGGAGTGACTAAATCTGTGCGGCTGTAGATGTTACCCTACGCCAATGTGCAAAAAAGACAGAGACTAAGAGGAGTGTCGGCGTCTCGTGAAGTGGGTCACCGATGCCTGACGAACACAACCAGCATGATGAGAATGCAGCGACGAAAAAGAGAGAATCTTGTACCATCGTATACTTTTAACACTCACTCACTCATCATCATATACTTTTTAATATACCTCACTCTTTACAACCTTACTCATTTTATTCCTATGAAAAATAAAATATCTGTGGTATGTTTCTAACTAAACTTACCGGACAGAACCTCCTCGCAGACCAGACCGGCATCGCATTGGTGTTGACGGTTGCAGATTTCACCCAGCTTGCGGCCTACAAACGCAGGCAGGCAGCGACCTCCCTCCTCTGTGCAAACAAATAGGATCAAGATCATTTAATCCTAATTGGAAGAACAGATTGTTTATAACTGTTTAAAAATAAATTGGTTGATTAATTGGTAATATGCTACTTGAAGCCGTAAACGGTGAAACTCAAATCGAATAATAACTTTTACTTCTTTCCAAGACTTGGTGAGTTGGCCCATTTATGAAAGCTCCTAACAAAAGCTTACTGGAAATATTTCGAAATGATAAAACTAACTTTTATAACCTACCAGTGAGTTCCAACTTAGTAATTTTAACTTTAAATATAACCACGACTTAGATGGCGTTATAAGAAAGTAAGAAACGATTTTATTATAGTTACTCAGAATAAAGTAGCGGTAAAAAAAAACTTTTATTTACATATAATCCGAAATGTACAACCAAATATGTGTATTTTAATAGTCACAAAAGTGCAAACAGTAGTTATGTTCGCTATAAAATTAAACTATCGTTAAAATGTTTACACCGGCTTACTTACGGCTTACGGATAGTACGTGGGTCACGTAAGTACGTGATACAAAAATAACTCACGACGTCGCAATGAAAGCACCATGTAATATTATATGAATAAAATAACAACCATTTTCCTTCTCGTGAAAGTGTGTTTCATTTTCATGAATTATTCGAGCGTAAATAAGGCAAAGACTTTCATAATATCTATGATGTAAAAGGCATTTTAATATAATATTATTTTCTGAATGAATAAGAATCTTTTTATAGCTTGTTTCATGTGCTTCTATTTGCGATTTCAGTGTTAACCATATTATAAGTTATTTACTACCTCTTTGCAAATAAATTATTAGTTGCCGGCCGCTCGGAATAAAAAAATATATCACAAAAACTTTACAAAAAGAATTGACAATAGCTATAAGAAATTATAATAAAAACAAAAAAATATCGCTTTATAATTTTTTTACTTGACTATTAATAGATATACTTCTTGACAAATTAAATAAACTTAATGTTTCTTTATGTAGCATTGTTACATTTACCCCGGTATCGATAATAATGAAAGAAAAAAAGGTTCTTAACTCGAAAAAAGGCTAATAACCTTAATGAAACAAATGAAAGAGACAAATAACCTTAATAATTTTCTTTTCCTTTATACTCAAGCTACATGATAACCGTCCATTAAACAAAATGCTTCGGGCAGTAGCGCTACGCCGTAGCAATGGACTACACCCACGAGGTTAATTGGCTTGGGAAATTGGAAACATGAGGTTGTCAGATTAATTTTGATAATTTATAAAATAAAGGCATGTGTTATGTGAATTTGTAGCCTATTTTTCTGTACTTTGTTGACACAGATATTAAAGCAAAAATAAAAGGAAATAATAACAAAAGTATTAGGACTCGAAAACTGATACGATATCATCTATCTGAACTACGAAAGCGTTGGAAGTATATAAAAATTCCAATTTCATATGTACGGCGTACGAAAATAGAGTCACAAATTAAAATAAAAAAATAAAACGTGTATATTCCGCTGAAAAACATTCTTTGGAAGTAGAATAATGAAAAAGCTTTGACAGGCTCCCGACGCGACCCATTCATCCCTTACTATAGGCTTCTGCAAAACTTTTAATTAAAATGAAATTGTGAGAATATATATAAAAGTTTTATATACAAAAGCTTGAACAAAAAGCTTTAAAATTAAAAGCTGGAATAGTGCAATTTGTAACCTCTACATCATTGTCTATACATATTAATGAAAAGTATTTACATATATTACTAATATTATAAATGCCATTGTTTGAATGTATCTCCGGAACGGCTGCATGGATCTTGCTAAAATTTGGCATACATATAGAACGTAGTTTGGAAGAAAACATAGTCTACTTATTACGTTTGTTTTTAGTTCTTCGCGGACAGAGTCGCGGGCGACAACTAGTTATATATAAAAATACATTAGTATTGTCTTGCGCTATATTGGCTGACTATTTAAAGAATAAATTCAAGAGAAAAATGTACGAAAATACGAGCCAGAGTTGATTTATTTAACTCATTTAGTAAAATTGAGAGCGAAGTCTATTGACTTGCAAATGTTGAAAAGCAATCTTGTTCGAGTAGATTGAATTATGTTTCGTCAGTTTCATTGCCTTATTACTTATGAAAATGTCTATCTAAGATAATCAGGATTCTTATAAGTTGTGAACCTATTTTTTTTATAACAGAAGGGGGCAAACGGTCAGCGGGAGCACCGAGGTGTTCAACGACGCCCATGGACATCAGGAATACCAGAGGAATCGCAGATGCGTTGCCGGCCTTTGAGATGGTGATACGCTCGCTTCTTGAAGGACTTAAGTCGTAGAGTTTATTACATAAACTTGGCTTGTATATTTTGTTCTTCAAATTTGTATTATAATAACTTAAGTTGTATACAAACCCAAATAACGTATCAATAAATAAAAAGAATAACGATAAAACTTTCGCGTATTTCATTTTTAAGGTGAGTTCGTATCGAGTTTCTAGAGTAGCGGTTACCTGGCATAAAACAGGTTACATTCACGCGAGTGGGTTTTTAAGTCTCTGTTGAAAGCCTAGTGCATAAATTTTACGGCACTTTATTTTAAAAGTGAAAATGGTAAGCCGTGTTGAGTGCGCACTGAAGGCAATTTTGCATAGATTTATCAAGTATATTCTTCGAGTATTTTAAATGATATTATTATCTTAGCTATCTGTAAGAACTTATGTAGTTCTTTCTTACATTAGTATTAAGGTAAAATTGTTGTATGTTAAAGCGTCTTTTCTAGTATATGTAAATTTTTAATTCGTTCCAAATCTATACATCACAATTCATATTATTTTCTTTGTGTTCTGATATCTTTTTCTAGTTTATCTGTACTAGCGATTTCCTTTTTTTAGATTACATGAAATATTTCACTTATGACTGTATATTCCAGTAGAACGCGTGTCCTTCAATTTATGAATGTACATGTTAATTTCCCCCCATAGTACACCTTAGCTGCATCTTCCGCGGACTTCTGGATTACTTACTGGAAGGACTGTTCTACTTACCAGTGTCCTGGCAGAGCAGACCCTGGCAGCAGTCAGCGTTAGTTGCGCAAGGGAAACTGTAGCAGTGCGCGGTCGGTTCCTCTTCATCCGCGCTTTCCCCGTCCAGGATATCAGTATAGATGTTGTCAGGTTCCACCTGGAAATTATTTATCTCTTAATACACAAACCTCACATACCTTTAGAGCCAGGTTCTTGGTTTATTTTATCCCATAGTTCTATATAAAATGAAAATTATATTTTTAATAAAATTAGAGCAATTTAATGAGTAATATTGTCGCTAGCAGAAATTATCATACACAGACATAAAGGGCATTTCACAGTTCATTGGATTTTAAATAACCTTTCGTTGTTCACCTTTGACACGTTAAGTAAAAATAGACGGGGGAATAAAGTAAAAAAAAAGTTTAAATATGTTGATAATAAATCTGAAATAAAGCTTGTTTCAATAACCTCTAGATGTTGACTGCCAGTTAAGTCACGACGACAAATTAAAAAAAAAGTTTTGGTGGATCAATATCAGGTGAACCTTTGTGCTTTAACCTTTAAAAAGCTTACCTGAGTATGCGGGTATTGGCGGTAGGGGGTCTGGCCATGCTGAATGTTGGCCAGCATGTCCGCGCTGAAGCGGTTGAAGAGGCCACCCCAGGCGTTGACAGTGGCCAAGTAGCCGATGGCCACGAGCGCAACAAGTATCATGTTAGTGCTAAAAAAAAATGTCATTTTATATTCGAAATTTAATAAGGTTACAAAGTAATCTAATAGTGTAGAAATCACCAGCTATATTCATCTCTAGCGTGAAAATGATTTATTAAAATAACAGTAATTTAATTGAAATAAAAGGACAAGCATGTTTCATTTAATTAATAAATGAAACATGCCTTGAATGAATTCTGAGAAAATCTAATTAATTACGTGCGAAGAGAGCGTAGTAGACGTGATAGTCCGTATATTACATTTTACTGTTGATTAATTTTTTAACATGATCTCGAATTTTTACGTAATAATTATGCCAAACAATAAAAAGGTATGTATGTGTTTGTGTAAAAAAATATATTAAAGTGAGTTAAAACAATTTTTTTACTTCTAAAGTAACTGAAACAAAATAAATTAATTTGATAAAAAACCTAGTGATAAAAAGTAATTAAATGTTTTCACGAATTCCAAAAGTTACAAAACTTTCCCCCTGTACGTTAAAGTATCTTCCAAATAAAATAATTTACTTAAATATACTCTCAGATAAAATATACCTTAATTCAAAATAAATGAAAAAATTAAAACGATAAAAATGTTTTTAATAAAAAACCTAATTCCTAGTCTTTTTAAAAATGGAATAAAGCATTATCGAACGTAGGAATTTGCTACTTACCGATGCATGGTCCGACCCGGCTGACGTCTCCTGCTAGACTGGTGGATCTATAAGTTGAGCTTTATTGCGCAGGGTCCGAGGGGAGGCGCATATACAGGGTGTAGCGGGATAGAAACGTAAAGGCGGAAGGTGAAATTATATAAGAGGTGCTAACTTTTTACTTAAGAGAGGCTTAGCACTTTTATTAAACGAGATTTATTCTCGTCTATATTGGAAAGTAAACAACGTTCTTTATATTGGATGACGTGTTTTTGGACGGTACCTTAATAAGGAATCTACTTTAACTCACTTAATGTTAGAAGCGTTTTATTTAAGTGTTTTTTTTACCAAAATGAATTTCGTTTGTCACCACCCTTAATTAACCAGAGTGAATATTAAATTACTAAAAGCTTTTATATGTAATTAAAATTCGCGATACTAAATACTGATTAGGTTTTTTTTTGACACGATACTAGGAATAAAGAATTCCGTTTACGAAACCTTTGCCTTTTAAGGACACTACTATCAACTATATTTGGTCCATTTGGAAACCGAATTTAAAAAAAACATGACATAACCCTGCCTTAACAGTATAATTTACCTCTCAAAGTGAATGAATGTCTACTTCCATTATGCCTCCCCTGTCCTCTAACACGGTTAAGACCTTTTAATGTTCTTATTGACGCTTTATTTATATAGTGTGGCCCTTTTCTGCTGGTTCGTACTTTGGTCATTACATTACTTTACATTATTTTTAGAATATTTACCAAGGCAATAATATTTACGATCATAATACTTAGTATTTAGATTTTTATGTAGACATCAAAGTTACGGGCAAATCAATACATTTGCTATTTTCATATATGCTTTTCTTTTCAATACTGATTATAATTATTTTCCTTTAGCGTTGAGTTATCCTCTCACTTTTAATATACTGACTAATGTCACAGACTTTAATAAGACAAATAAAAATAAAGAATTCATAACTTATTTATTAAATAAAACATAACAGATACAAACATCAAATGCAAGTTAAATTACTTATTTCTAACTTATCTTTAAAGTAACAAGTTAAGCAAGGTTTGTACGACCATAACAACCAACTGCAGTAGACCTGGTAACAAAGCGCCACCGATCCCCACAAGAACATCGTCCGCCAGGTCTGTGATTGCTCCGACCAGTGTTGTAAGAAGCCCCTGCATATTCGCCACCCCTGTACTAGGGGTGTTTGGGTTGGCACCGATTGCATATTCAGGTAATGACCTTAAGAAATTAACTATCGCTAAAGCTTGAGAATAAAGTTTGAGCAATGATGTCTCTAACGCCCCTAAATCGACTGGTATCAGGCAACTGATAGATGGCGGTAGTGTGTCGAAGATTGAAAGTAGAGATAGTAAGAGATTGTAGACGTTGTTTAAGAGAGGCAGGAGAACGTTGACTAGAGGGTAGACTGCAGGGAGTTGTACGTTTGTCGCTGACACTGGCTGGAAGAAAACAAACATTTTTGATATTTTGAACATATTAAGAAGAATAATGTTAGTAACTTTCATTAATGAGATTTTATTATGATCTTAATTCTACTTTAATTTACTTTTTTAATATAAATTTTATGTTTCTCTTTATATAACTCACCGTTAAAACAAATACAGCTACCGTACAAACAAGAATGACTCTTATTTTATTCATATTTATAAAAATATGATATTTACCAAAAAAAAAAAACAAAATATACCTCGAAACCTTACATTAGTTCTGCGTTAGTTCTTATTATATCTAACTTTATATTATATTTTGTTACTAAATTTGAAACACATTCCTAAAGAAAAAAACATTTATATTGTAATTAATGATAAATGTTATCGTAATTTAGTAAACACGGTTATCAAGTTTGTAACAATTTATGTCATATTACAAAAGCTAGATGATAAAAACCACCTGTAATTAAATATCTATTGCAATCAATAATATTACGGTATCTGGGACATTCTGGTAATATGAATATTTCAACAAAAATCACGTCCTTTAGTTTAGAGGGGTATGCAGAGACCACAGATCTTCATTTAGCGTCGCCAAAAAAATCCACCTTTCTCTCTTGCGGGAGACCGAACGTGATGGAAATTCACATATGTATTACTTTTGCTAATATGTATAGGTTACATCACAATATTTTCTTTCACCATAAGAACAATAAAAAGATAAATGTACATATGTAAATCGAAAGGCACACCGTTATATAGCGGGATTCGAACCCAGGACCTGCAGATTACAAGTCAAGTGCTTAACTCCTGAGCCACCGACACTTCATTCATAGTTCTATGAAAATTTAATGGTCAATGAAATGGTGTTTGTTTATTAACAAAACCTTTGTAATAGTGTTTATAGAAGACTGGACTTTAACATGTCAGAAACAAAAGAACTCACATTTTAAGATAAGGTAATGGTTTTTAAAATGAATTAGGTATAAAGATCGTAATATTGCTAATCATAAAATTATTTTCTATTACACAAAAATAGTTTATCGGTAACAAAGATATAATGTAACGATGAAACAAAAATTATGTAATGAAAAAATATTTACATAGTATATATGATAACATGTCGTTTATATAAACCTAAACTTATTTTTATTTAACAAAACGTATTTGAATTTGGAATAGAGTATATTTTTTTTCTAAAATGAAAATACGACTAATAGTTTTATCGATTTTTATTGCAACATTGGTTAGTATTTTGTTTTTAAAAATTATGTTCCTGCAAAAGATTTAACATTAATATAATTAAAGTTATATGATAAGTGTAGCTAGAAAAAGAGTTTTCTGCACTTTTTCCTTAGCTCTACAGGCCTTTGTGGGCTTTTGGAGTATTTTCCTAACTCGATCTATTCTTGGCCAATGTATCTGTATGTCGGCATATTTTTTTCACCACGATTTACAAAGACGATCTAATAGAGCTTTTTGAAAGTTACACAGTTTATAAAGATTAAATTAGCGTTATATGTGTTTTGATTTTTATTGACATTATTTTTTTTTTTTCAGATAAATAAAAGCGAAGCAATGATCCCGGCATATTCAGTCTCTGCTTTGCGTCTTGCATTCGATGAGATATCAACTGTATTACCAGTTGCTAACCAACTCGCCTGTTTACTTATTCCTTTTCTAATAAATTTGATAAATAATCTTAATAATTTATCAAATATCGTACAAAATTTAACACCAGCTATACTGCCGTACTTTGGTTGTACTCTACCACTTTTGTATGCGACTTTGACAGATCTAGCATCGGTTTTGTTTTTGTATATCAGTGTAATGATATCTTTGTTCAGGTCAAATGTATTAGCGGCTCCGGGATTACTGTTAGGTCTTGTGTCACAAGTATTAAATTTAGTACTAAGTCTACTTACAGGACTTTCAGACGGTACAGGCTTGTTAACTGGTTTGATTAAACTAATTACAAACGTTATAGTAGAGTTGGAGAAACTTCTAATTTAAGTTTAGAGTTTGAATGTTATTTAATTAATGTTATTTTAAGTTAGAGTTAAGTTACAGTTAAGCAAATTGAAAGATGTTTTGTGTTTTAGAATTATAAATTATTTTATTCATTAATAAAATGTTATTTTATAAAAGATTTTGATTTAATGATATTAAATATATAAATTGGGTATAAATTTTCAGAAAAAGTATATACGAATTATTTGCTACGTTTCTTATCATTCTAATTGAAGTTTAAGTCTTACATCCATTAGTCCAAAGTACAAATGTGTCAAAGTAAAGTAATAAAACAAAAGACGCGGAAACATTATTCATGTGCTCTTTTGTAGAGTACGCGCAATTACGATTTATGGTCCGTTACTTTGTGAAAAAAAGTATCTACGTCTTTCCTTATCTTCCGTAACAGACTCATCCAGCTTTTACTGCCAAGGGAAAAATAAAAGTCAAATTAAATAAAAACTTCTTTTATATGTTCAATAACAGTGTGGTTATTAAATATACAAAATAATCAACGATGTAATTGGAAAAAAAAATAATTCTCGCGAAATTAATTCAAAGTTAAATCTTTATCATATAAATCGTGATTAATCATGATTAAAAACTATCTTATTGGAATCGTATGTTATAAATCATTGTAATGTATAAAATTGTCACGTAGTTAAGTTTAAGATTTCTATCGACATTGTTCCATTTAGTGTTGTCAGATTGATGTACAATATTGCACAGTGATGTTACATAATGTGCGAAAGAAGTTTAATTTTAAATGTTTGTTTATTAATTTCACTGGTAAGTTCAATTTTTTATTTACTATTCCATCCATAGCCTATGCTATTACAACTTCCTGACAGTGAAAGAATTGGTTCAGTAGTTTCGGAGTCTATTCTTTTCTATTTATTATATGAGTATAGAAGTTTAGATGATAAAACTTAATTGCACTACTTTGTAATTTCGTCATTGTGTTAAATTTATTTGCTATAGATTACTAATAGTGGTGAATAAATAATATTTTAATCGTATTTGTTGTGTGAAAAATTAAATCCTTAGTAGCCTTTTTTCTTTAAATGATAATATAATATGAAGAATCGTTGCTTTATTAGAGCATTGAGTACCTTTGATTGATTTTAAAATTATATTTATTACAGGTTTCAACAAGTCCGATACCAAAAGAAGTAGACGTTCAAATTTATCCTGGAAATTATTGCGACCAAAGTGCTTTCAGAAATTCTTTGATGGGCTTATTTAATGGTGAACAAACAAGTGACAAAACAATAAATAAAATTGCATCAATATGTCCAAATCATCAAGAAAAAGATATGTTATTGAAAATGATATACGATAGAATTATAAATAATCCTATGTTGGTAGATATTATTAGTGATATTCAACGTAGCAATAATGCCGATAATTTAAATAACATTCCAAATTCAAAAAATACACCAAGCGTAATAAACAATTATATAATTTTACCAGATTTAATTAATAGACAAGCTTCAAACATAAAAGAAGATATTTATACAGAGTGCATGTTGGACAGCCCTAATATCTGTACAAGGGTTAAAAAGAATGCCGACAAAAATCAAGATATTTTAGGGGAAAATATATATTACGAACAAGCCGATGACGATGTCTCGAAAGGAGAAAATCTCTTTATCAATAACAATCAATACAAATCTGATAACAAAACAACGACTAATCAAAAAAGAAATACAAGAATACGTTCTAAACGGCCGAACCAAGTAAAAAATGAATCGACGGCAGATAAACTAGATAATCAAAACAAAAATTCTATCGATTTACTGGTCACCGAAAAAGGATATCAAAAAGAAAACAAAACCAAAGGACTTAAAACTAAGACAACAAATGAAAGTACACCATCTATAGATAAGCCTAAAAAATCTGAAAGCTTAGGCAACACAGGATATTCACATAAAAATGAAAAAGGAGATGAAAAAACTGTGACAAACCAACAAAATAATAAAACATTTAAAGTTAACACTTCTAGAAAGAAGATCAATGGCGTCAAACTAAAACATGGCGATGTGGTGAACGGCAAACAAAAAAACGCACAAAATGATGGTGGCCAAAAGAAAAAATCAAAAGAAATACAATCTAAGAAAAATAACAACAAAAATAAACAAAAAGTTAGTGATTCTAATCGATCGAGAAATACTTTAAACTCTGTTCCAATTAACCAAGATTATCAATATCCGAACATGCCTTATGATTCGAACTCAATGTACAAATATATAAATGCTATTATGTCAAATTATCAATTAAACAACAATGATTATCCTTTCAACTTCAACAATTTTTACCAACTTCCGCAAAATTCGAATCAAAGAAGCAGTAAAAAATCTAATAGAAGTAAATCGTACAAACGACGTAAGAATCCAAAGTTTTATAGAAGAAAACAAAACAGAAAAAGAGTTTATTCAAGAAGAAAACCAGTAGACAGGAAGGTTGCTAATGAATCGATGAAGTTGGTTGATGAAATTATCCCTAGTTCTAATAACTTGCTTATCACAACACCTACGCATTCTTTAGAAATAAAAGAAATTCCTCATACAGCTATTATTAAAAAAGAAAATGAAACTATAATACTAGTGGAGAATGTTTTAGAACAGAATAATAATATTTCAAGTGAAGAAAATGAGAAAGATAATATTGTAACAGGCATATTCGACGAATTGTCTTTTATTAATAATTCTTTGCCCGAAGAAACATACAATTCGTATCCATCGTTTATAGTTGGTATGGATGATAAAGTACCAATTATTTTCGAAAATAGTCTAATGGATGATTACTACCCAGATTTCACTGCTGATGAAGCTTTACAATTAACTACAGAAGAAAAAAATCCTATAAAATACCACGGTGATAAATATCATTATGTAAGTAATAAAAATTTCAATTTCGGGGACTTTATAAAGAAAAGAAAACGAATTGCAATGAAAAATATGAGTAAAAATTCTAATTTATTTTTTAGTGAATCTATAGGAACCAAGGATTTGAATCAGGAAGACAAAGTAGCAGAAGAGATGACTACTGCAGAAATTAAATCCCCTCATTTCTTGGATAATCCAGACTTCAGAACACGGAAGGTGGATTCAAATGAGATCTACGAACCTTATCATCATCATAATATTTATCAAGATCCTAAAGAAGAATATAACAAATATGACATAGAAGATACGGCTGTGGTCTACTCAACTCCAATTTCAGATAAAAATAACGGAAAATCTAAATCATGTAATGATATTGAAGATGGTTTGGCGAAATGGAGGAAAGTCAAGGATACGAATGTTGAAACTGTCTACGCTCGTTCGAAATTAGCAAAATATGGTCTTGCTTTGTGATGGACTTGTGATGTAATTATTTATTTAACTTGTAAGGATTCTTATAGAAAAAATGATAATTAATTTAATTTGACAAAAGCTGATTGTCAATTAAAAAAAAAAACTATTTGTTTTATTACTTGTTTTTTTTCTTAGTGTTTATTGTATTATTTATTGTAATAAAGAAGTTTAAAGCTTTAAATTATTTTAAGCAAATTTTATTTACCTACATTTATTCTCCGTTGGATTAATGTCCCAATTCGGCCGTTACATTGGCAGGTCGATCGGCTCAACGGGAAACATTTTGAGTCAAGCAATTTTAAATTAACTTTACATAACGTTTTTATAACAAATGTGATTGTTATTCAATTTTTTAATAAATATTGTCAATGATTGGCAAATTTCCCCTTAGTTTCTGTGTTATCCAGCATTCAGAGGAATTCCATTACAAATGTGCACACATGGGATGTTTGTTCAGATCCTATGTAAACTGAAATTCTTCGATATATTGATCATTTTACTGTAGGGTTGTTGTTTCACTTATAACTAGGAATATTCATCGAACATTAGTACTCATGTTGACTACAAAAAGCACACGTGAGAAGAGAAACTCACATTATAGTTTAATAGCTGCTAAAGAAAATCTTTACTAAAAAATCGTACCTTAATTATATGTTACTGGACCCTTAATCCGCAGAATTCCTTTTAATTAAATGTGGGAACATCTTACTATTTTTATAAATGCGAAAGTTTAGATGGATGGATGTTTGTTAGAGAATATTTTCATAACAGCTAATACGATCTTCAGTCTGGACGAACTCATAGGCTACTATTTTTTTTATCCGCCGCGGACGGTGTAACGGGCGACAGCTTATTATGGTTAAGGTCGAACAAAATTTTATGGTATATACAACATTGAATGTTTAATAGCTTCTAATATTATCTATAGATCAAATCAATGCATATTGTATACAAGAAAGTAATATTGTATACACTTACATCAATATATTATTGTCATACGTGTTAACTTTGTATCCTTTTTAAGGATATACCGGTAACAGATGAACGGGAAATTTTATACAGTTAATGTAGAGAATCTTTGACTATAACATAGTGGAGTTTCGACCAATGGGCATCCACTATTAATTATTAAATACGATTGAAACATAACTGTTATGTAATATTAGTAATAATGTAATAGATAATATTAAGGTAATAGTTATTGTAATTTCTTGGAAAGAAAACATTCAGAATTTCTTGGAAAAGCCTAAAACACGTATTCATGATAACATTTGTATACTTAAAGCAGTTGAATTTGTTTTATTATACAGTCTTAAATATACACTATTAAAGTAAACTATCGAAATATAATAAAATGGTTCACCGCACTGCAGGCTTTGTTGTTCTTCAACTGATCGCGATACAGGTAAATTTTATCCATTACAATATATTTTAACTTGATTTACTTTCTTGAAAATATTTTAGTTTAATATTCGTTCATCTTGAAATTTATAAATCTTTATAATCTAATATAAATATAAGTTTGGGTAGATGGATGGATGTTTGTTTGAAGGTATCTCCAGAACGGTTGAATGAATTTCGATGAAATTTGCCATAAATGTAAAATATAATCTGGATGGACACATACTAGTTAAGTTTTTTATTAATTCTACGTGAACGGAGTGGCTACAGCTAGTTTTGTTAAATAAAACTGGGATAAGATAATATTTAATATTAAATAAAAGGCTATGAATGTCTAAGTGCTAGTACATTACGACAAAGTGCACTTTATATGCGAAGTCTTGAAGTTGGATATTTCCTTCGGGAGCAAAGCTTTGTTCTCAGTGTCGGAGGATAAAAAGTTTTATAGCTTCTTTACTTCGTAGTAGATGTAATGCTAATTCTTTTATATTTCTTTCTTTATATCTATGCAAAATATGAAAGAATTACTGACATATTCAGAGTCAAGTCTTAGTAACTTACCCTTAAGTGTATTTAGTAAGAGAAATCTACATTTAAGCGTCTTCAGTCATAACTAAATATTTCTTCAATAGACCATAATTAAATTATACTATAATTATTACAGTTTGAATTTATCTTTTGCATTGTACTTATTGATTTATTTTTTACAGAACGTGTACAGTCAAGTTGTTAATCGTGTTGTACCGAATTGCGGTCAGAATATAGTCCCGGAGTTAATGATTGGCACCCCTACAGTAACTCCTCTTGTTATGGAGAGGCCCTACGAAGTCGCACCAACAATAATCCAAGACAGCAGTGTTGCTAACAGCTTAGCAAATGCTCTGCAGTTGCTTGTAGTGAGCAATTTGTTGAGCACAACCCTACCAAGTCCAAACTGTGAGGTGTTGGCCCCTGCGTTTGCTCCTATTGAAATGTTGGCACCAAATTACGCCCCTGTTGAAGTCATTGGAGGCGGTTTGTTAAGCCCCTATGGATCTCCATGTAATTGCATGCCTAGTTATAATTACATTTATTAATTCTTTTTATACCAAATTTTATTACAACATATTTGTAATGTGATATATACGTTATTTAAATAAAAAAAAGTTTTAAAATAATTTGTATTTTATTAAAACATCGTTGCAAATAAGAGTTGAGTTATAAGGAACCAAATGATAAGTCCCAATTAAATTGAGCTTGAGAGCGTCGGTGGCTCAATGGTTTCAGCACTTGACTTGTAAACTGCAGGTCCTGGGTTGGAATCCCGCCATGTACCAATGTGTTTTTCGATTTTCGATTTACATATATACATTGATCCGACGTTCTTACGGTGAAGGAAAACATCGTGATGCAACCTGCACATATCCGAGAAGAAATTCAAAGATATGTGTGAAGTCAACCAACCCGCACTTGGCCAGCGTGGTTGACTATGGACTAGTCACCCTTAACTTAGGGTAGGCTCCGAGTCCCTCGGTGGGGACATATAGTGAGCTGATAATGATGAAATTGAGCTATTATTATTTTTGTATAAATTGTTTATGCATCGAATTGTATTAAAAATACAGAAAGAGTATACGACTATGCAATAAATAACTAGTGACGTACTTACTATTAACAGGATGTCAAAGGAAACTCAAACTATCTTTAGTAAATGTCGGAACATTAAAGTCATAGGTCAGAGCTGTTTGACGTCATTCGTTCATCTAAATATAGCGATGTTCCGCTCCGCGATGGCTGACGATGTTTCCAGTAAACAAAGTTAAACTAATTGGTGTTTATTTTATAAACAGACCTATATTTTAGAACTGTTTCTATCACTAACAAGCTATGATATAAGAAAGATAAGTTACCCTATCAATACCGGCATTAAGAATAAAGCGGGGTTCATATGATTTTCTTAAATCCAATAGTTTATTACCTAGAGAGAGGAAAAACTAACGTTTAGTTTTAGAGTTATATATCTATTTTTTTTTTATAGTCTAACGTAGGGCAGCAACCTCTTTGCGTCCCCTGGCGACACCCATAAGTGCCAGGGTTACTCCGTCATATTCTTTAGAAAAGTGTTAATACGATGCAATTCAAGTTCTTAGTTTAGGAGAGTAAAAGGAAGAGCAAAGTGTAAATAATATAAGAGAATTTACATTTCATCTTATGCTTATTTAAATTTATTAAGGCTAAGATATATATTTTACGAATACATACATACATACACACACAAACCATAGTAGTCACAAGAAGTATAGTCAGTTTATATAAATACATATATCTTATTCCGTATTACGTAACCGTCAAATTGCATTACCATGAAATTTATTTTATATGTTTTTATACAATTATTTCGACATTGGAAACCTATAGTAATATTAAGCAATATTAAGATATAAATAGTACGTGCGAAAATTCATTGTTCAATTTTCGCATCACGTAGAAAGAACATCTACGAAATTGAGTTTCAGGATAAGAGAGGCTTATTCGGGACGAGACCTTGTTTAATATATTTTTTTCTTTTTATGTATTATATAAAGCGTTGAACAATAACCATTTTATTTTAATACATCGAAAAACTGAAGTGGCTGAAACTACTACTAAGGAAAAGATGCATGCAAAGGGAAAATATTTAATTTCTGTGCATCCTCACCTCCGTCGATTAAAGGCAACGCATATGCAATTGCGTATGTCTATGGGCAACGGTCACTTCGCTATTTCAGCGATTTCAGGTGGCCGCTCGCTCGTTTGCCACCTTACGATAAAAAAAATGCTATCAAAAGTTTGCTAAAATTGATAAATGACTCAAATTAATTTTACAAATTAGCAGTGAGTTTCCACTGTAGTGTAAATACCTGTACAAAAACATGCTTTAATCTCAGTTTTTTTTTCAATGAGAATTGGAATATTGTTTATTTTAAAACACTTAAAAAAAGATTCTTGAAATTATACTTCACTAAAGAAAATCTACTGTTTCTCTTAATGCTAAATTAACTTTTCTAGACAAGTTTAATTAAAAATGGAACAATTTAAGTAACTTAACAAATAAAATAACTCGGGCTAGCACATAAAATAAACTGAACACATTTGTTAACAAAAGCGCGGCTCGGATTTGAGTTCATGCATCCCTCGAGACTGCGTTCATTTTTTATTCTTATTGTTTCAACAAAATGTAATATGACTACGTAATAAAAACAGTATAACGGGTTTTAATAATTTTGAATTTTATAAATATATTAATATAATAAATATGCTTTGAATCTTTAAACTACAATAGGAGTGGACATTAAAGAAATTTGAAACGACTAACCGTGGGTTTCCGAGACCGAAATCCCCGTTTAAAATATATTGTTATGTAAGACATAATAACAGGGATGACGGTATGTTTTATATAGAGATTTTAATCTCAAAAACCAACGGTAAAAATGTCACAGAGATATATTTAAAACATTGTAATCTTTTTTGAAATATAAAAGATAGAATCTATTTTTTGGGATTAAGAATTACTTTTAACAAGTAAATTATCTTCGTAGAGATTCTTATTTCCGATAACAAAAATTGATAAGGAGATATTATGTTAAGAAACATTGAAAAATCGATACTGAACGTTTAACGATCTTGTTGAAAGAGATAAAAATTACAGAATACGTGTTATTAGATGTGAGATATTAGATGTATCAATAGTATTGAATCATTTTGATTTAGTTATTAAAATTCATTGGAATCGAGACAATGTCTGCTCGGGTTTTGGAGTTTTTAATAATTGACGGACTCATTTGTGCGGTATGTTGTTTAATTTAATTGTCTCTACATTTTATTGCCCCTTTGTCTTAATTAAAAAAAAAATTAAAATCATCGACAACTTCATATTTCTTTAAACGTGACCTTTGAGATATTGTGTTCTTTAAGTTATTAATATTTGTATTTTTAATTAAGTATACCGTAAAATCAAAGAATTATAACATTTTAGTAATTAAAAACAACATAATTAGATCGTTTTTATTTTTAGGTATTTGCTTCATATCTACCACAAGGGACGCAATATTTTCAAGTACCAGGGCAACAGTACTATCAAATTCCAAGCACGCCTTCGCATTCAACAACTAATCCATACGCTTCCACACATTCTCATACAACTGTTAACTCTTACACACCTCCTTCGTCTTCAGTGTACCAACCAAGTGCTTCTTTATACCATGATTATTCGTATTCACCGGCATCACCACAAATTACAACATACAAACCTCCAGTTGCACCAGTTACACCAGTTCAACCACCAAAAGAACCTCCATTGATTCCAACAAAGCCTAAAATCTCCCCAACTTTACCATCAAAAGGATTCGATTCAAATGTTTTAAATAATTTAGCAATTGCACTACAATTATTGATTGTCAGTAATTTATTAAACTCACCTATATCAGAGTCTCTACCAAATATGCGTAATGGAATACAACAAAAAATAGAGTACGAAACAATCCAACCAGCAAATTCTCATGCAATATATACAAATGAAGGTCTTCCCCAATATCAAACACAAGACTATCAAGCATATTTTGAAAGTAATCCATACGAGTCTCCTAATCCTTCTTATCCTAATGCTAATTATTTAGGTTCGTCACATAATTTGGGAGGTCTATTAGGTGCCATACCTCCTGCTACTCCAAGACAAGGGTTAAAATTACAATCTCCGTATGATGCTTTGGCTAATGGCTTTGCGGAACATCAACCTGTATTTGAACAAAACAAACGTGACTTTCAATCACCGTATGCCGCGATTTTGGCTGCTGATAATACCAAGGATTTATTTTCTATGGATTTCTATTAATGTAACTTATTTTTTTTAATGTGTGAATGTAATGAAATATTATACGAAGTGGACAGTGTTTATTTATTTTTGTAAATTAAATATTTTTTTATAGAATGAAATGTATTTTAATTTTGTTTAAACCCTTGTTTGGAAACTCAATGAAATAATTGTGTATTATTTTGCATTGAAATTATATAAAAACTAATTCATTTATTGTAATAAAGTAACACATTTCGCTAAAAACTTAAAAGTAAAGATCGAATTTAATAGAAAAACAAAATTGTATTTTTATAAAACAATGTTGTAGGTTTTTGAGGTAAGCCTGGAATAACAAATAAATCAAATCTTTTTTGTAATGGTTTTGATTTTTCATAAAACAGAAAGATAAAAGTAGTTTACATTCTTTAGAGATGAAATTTTGCTATCTTATTCTTTGATAATATCCTCCTTTGGGCTATTTTCTTTAAATCCTTATTTACTAATAAAAAAAATCCTGTAGATAATAAAAAAACATCGCAAAGAGTTCCTTAATATGCAGTGTACCGTTATTAACTGAATTGTATATAAAATAAAATAAATTTGTTTTTTATTATTTATTTATTTTACAAAAACTGAATAAATAGAAATAAATACAACTTAAAAACGAACACAAATTAGAAGAATTTTAACATATTCAAATTAGGATTTTGTGGAACAGATGGATTTACGTATAAAGTATTAAGATTATTCGAAATCGCTGGCACGTTTAATGGAAGAGATGATGGTACTAAGTTATTTGAAGCACAAACAGGGCAACGACATATTTTAGCCAATTCTTCTATCAATGGTCCGGCTATTTGACCAAAAACAGGTCTCCTTAATGCATTTCTTTTTAATTTAGCCAATGATGCATGTTCTATTTGTTCAGCTAAATTTCTACACATTAGAATATTTTCTAGTGGTGTTACTGGTACTGGGATTTGAGATGAAGCCCGTCCTCTTAATGCTTCTATGATTGAAGAAGTTGCTATATCAATTGGTGATTTTGAGCAGTAAGTCTGCAGCGGGCATTGTGCTAGAGTTACCTATAAATGAAGTTAGTATGAAAACAACTGGAAAACATATGATAAGTAAAATAGAGTTTCGTCAGATGACAGTGGCATATGACAACGAAATGGAAGGAAATTAGAAAATATCTAAATATCTTATATATAAAATTCTCGTGTCACAATTTTCGTTCCCATACTCCTCCGAAACGGCTTGACCGATTCTCATGAAATTTTGTGAGCATATTGAGTAGGTCTGAGAATCGGCCAACATCTTTTTTTCATCCCCCTAAATTTTAAGGGTAGTCCACCCCAAAATTTTTATTTTTTAGACAAACACGCGGACGGCGTCGCGGGCGACAGGTAGTATTTATATACTTTTGCATCTAGTAGATATACCAAAAAAGCAAATTGTTTGGACATTATATTGTTGATTTAAGTATAAAGTAAAATTATTTATTATTTACTAAGAAAACAACAAAAGTTCTTATTTTTAAGATATATAAGTAGAAAGTTTGATAATTTAGTGACAAAACATACCTCAATTAATAAAGCTGTAACGATAAATCTAAGCATTCTGGTGGGATCTAACTTCAAAGGCCTATGAATGATTTTAACCTATACAAGTATTATATATATTAATACCATTTCTTAATATCTTTCACGATTATGTTTCGTCTCAATAGATCTTTATCATGCGTTAGAAATGTGAAAGAAATTCTACGATAAAGTTATCAATTTCTTTGTATAGATTAAAACAATCTTTATCAGTTCTTTACCATTATTTTCTTCTGATATTCTGACGTAATTTGGTCTTCAATTTTTATTATGAAATAAAGTAATATTGGCTTAAAACAAAAACAATTGTAATAGTTATCAAATACATATATTAAACCTCATAAAACGAAAATAAAACCTAAATTACAATGGTTTTTAATTTTGAATTCAATTTTATTTTAAGCTAATATTTTTAAACTAAAGTTAAGTACAGATCATGAGAGGATTTCATTGATATTCTCCAGCGATGGCCTTTGTTATAAATCTCATAACCAAAGATTGGAAAACATTATATATGCAAACTTTTGAAGATTGTAGGAAAGCGAAAATTTAGCAATCATTTTAATTACTAATAATTTCAAAACAATGATGTTACTAATATAGTAGATTTTGATTTCTAGTTAATTTTCTTTGTAATATCTTGCTTGTCTGACTACAAGTTATCATATAACTTGACGCAATATTATACAATAAGTATTTCAAGTAAATACCAGGTATAAATATGACAATCAGTCTTTAACCTTATTCAATATAATTAATGAAAAATGCGGAAAGAAATTTTATACGTTTTCGGAGTTATTTACTTTTCTGAGGTAAAAAAATTTCTCCTAATTAACGAAGAATCGTAAAATGTCTAAACAAATAATCGTATTAGTTATGTTTTTAATCAAATAAGTCCGTGGAGTTAATTAAGAAATAAATAAGGAGAAATAGAAATTATAACTTAATTTAATTATTTTTTTATGTCGTTTCAGGTTCAGTCACAATTTTGTAATTGCGGAACACCGATACAATTAATGCAAGATGTTGTATCATCGCCAATCAGACCACAGATAACTTCAGTACCTATAGATAATTCTGTTTCAAATTCCCTAGCGAATGCTTTACAATTACTTATTGTAAGCGATGTAATTGCTTCAACTATCAATCCTCTTAGAACTATACCACCCTGTATGCCAACTGTATCAATTTGCGATCAAATTCAACCATCTCTTTATTATTCATCGCCTGATTTGATAGCACCGATAACCGAATTTATTTCGCCATCTTCTCCAATAGTAGAATTTCTAAGACCACAAAGTTCTCTGGAATCTCTTGTCAATTCTCCAGTTAAAAAATTAGGTTCGAACATTTATAGTTTGCAAGAAATTGTATCAGTTTTACCTAATTTCGACTGTACGAGCTTTCGAGAGATAGGATCTGTGCCAAGAGCAACATTGAATCCTTTATCTGGAGGTTTAACAGAGATTATTGGTCCAATTAGAAATCGTGGGCCAGTTACAGAATTAAAATATCCACCAGGAATACAGGGTGCGTTGACTCTTAATATAGGGTCTCCTTCGTCAGTCCCTTGTGGCAATCTTAATGTGGAACCAATACCTTATGCCAGCGTTAATTATGTTTATTAGAATTTAAAAAACAAAGATCAAGACAAGACAAGATCTAATATTGTAACTGATTAGTTTATGTAAATTATTAAATAAAATAAATAATTAAAATTTCAAACTACATATTATTTTCATTTTAGTGCCTTCTATTCTATTCGTTTAAACCCACATTTACTCGTGATATGTAAATGACTGCGATGAAATTACTTATAATATATTGATTCAATATTTTAATAGCTGTCGCCCGCGACTCCGTCAGCGCGGAATATAAAAAAAAAACTTAATAAGTATGTTCTTCATGTGTGCCAAATTTCATTGAAATCCGTTAAGCCGTTCCGGAGATACATTCATACATCCATCCATCTAAATTCGCATTTATATATAATAATAATATTAATAAGATTCTTTTTAAATCTATTATGTTTGATTCATCTCTTATTTATATTATTCTATTGAATATTAATTCAATTATGAGGTTTTATTATTAGAAGGAATAGAAAAATAAAGATGTGGTTTCAAAGTGTTTTAATTTATTTAATCCTTAAAATCTAGTTAATAAATAAAAATAAGTTACTTGCATATAAAATAAATATACAGTATTAATTTCATCTCAATAATAGTCTTAATCAATAAGATAATGAGAGACGTTTACAATACAAATAAATAATAAATATAAAACCCTATCAATTGATATAAAATTGTTAAAGCTTTTGTAAAAACATGTTCTTCATAAGTGGTTTTTGGAAAATATTTGGTGTAGGCACTTTACGCTTTATCCTGACTATTTGACCTTTACGAGGTGCTAATGAAGTTGACGTTTTCTGTATGATAACTCCTGATGTTGGAGATGTACTAATCATCATAGGTGATGAGACCCGTCTAATAATTATCTCCGGGGAAGCAGTCTTCATTATTGTTGCAGTTGGACCGATAGAATCAGTTAATGTCTTTTGAGTTTGTACGATATACTGTGTTGCTACAATCTGAAAAAAATGGGTCATTAAATTAATGTTATACTAAAAAAAATGTGCATATCTTATGTTATGGTCGTTAAATTATGGCTTAGCGAAAAGAAGAAAAAAAGTGCTGTAGTGTAGATAAAGGTTAATTTATGTATATTTTGAAGTACGAGCTGAGCAATAATTTCTAGATCTTCTTGGTACTAACGTACTAATTTTTATAAGATAATTAAAATCAAAAAAAAAAAACTGAAACGTCAAAGGCACAATTGCTAAATAGCAACCTTTGTCTATTACGTCATTTATTTTAAAATTACCTTTAACATTAAAAGTGTAAACAAAGAATATAATATTATCTTCATGCTTGTAACTTTCTCTTTTGATTGTGTACAGATTTTCTGTCGCAAGTTCTTTTATAAGTGTGTGTAATTAAAGGTTCATGTCTCTAATGTCATCATCACTAATCGATAATGATGATACGTGACATATTATAATAACATTTTGTTTTATGTAACTACAAAGTATATCTTACTAAATTAAAACGTGTTGAGTGATAAACTATTTTGTAATTGATTACAATAATATTTGAGTGAATAAAAAATATTAATAAGATAATAAGCATTAAACAAAAATACAGTATTTTATAAGACGCTGTTAATTTTTTTGCTAACAAAAAAAACAACTTATTTATTTTTTTCCTAAGGGTCGGGGACTGGTGTCCAAACTAGGGTGATAGACTGTGAGGTGGATCACTAAGTTCCCGCCCCACATAGACCACAAATTCCAAAAAAAAAAATTAAAATAAAAAAGACAAAGTGAATTGAAATTAACTCTATTTTTTATGTATTCCCAAGTTTATTTTTGCTTAATTATTAAGACACATAAAATAAATATTCTAGTTGAGAAAATTAACAAGTTTTCTCGCTTCGTACACATACAAATAAAAAATTAAATATATTCTAGTTTACTTTACTTGATAGAAGAAAATAATTTTGTAGGTGCTATTTTGATACGTTAAACTTTGGAAAAACTTAATCTTTTTCTTTATGGCTTTCATAAACTAAGTTGGTACTACTTCATGCCACACGTTGTTACATTTGATTTTTTTTAATATATTTTAAATAAAGTATATAAGACCTTTTGCAACATACTTGTGTCAGTATTTCGATTATATTTATCATACTAATTCTTTGAATTGTAACAATTATCATAGTTTTGTAAATTATTAGGTCAATAAAAGTTGCATTTCTAATTAAAAATAAATATATAAAAGCAATATTACTATGTATTTTTAAGGTTAGTCAGCAAAAATGAAGATTGGAACGGTGCTCTTAGCGATTACTCTTTTGCTATACAAGGTAAAAATATATCATAAATTCAAGCAGAATAACAAATTATTTTTAAGTCATGCTCAAAAGGTCTTAAATTTTAGACATTTCTCTTCAAAAAGGCGATTTAAGAAACAATGTATTTATTTATGCTTATTTTATCGCTAATTTTAATATTAACTATTAACACAACATTTATCTAAGTATTTTAGGAAGAAAATCCGACACTGTGCCGGTGTACTGGCGCAACACTAGCCTTACCAAAATGTCGACGTTTATGACCCCTCACTAATCATGCTGACACTCGACTCTAATTAATAATGTCTAAAAGTATGTTTTTTTTTATTTTTCAGGTACAAGGTCAGATTTGTGGACCTCCAATATTACCACCGGCGCCATCCCACCCTCCAATGTATCCAAACCCACCACTAATACCCCCGGTTACACCTGTAGTTGGAACGACCATAATTGATACTTCACTTTCAAGTGCACTCGCAAATGTCCTACAATTATTAATCGTTAGTGATTTAATAGAATCGACATTAAATACTGCTTTAGGGCATCATTCAGTACCTGTGGCTCCTATTTGTGAGCCGGTACCGCAACCGATTCCGATCTATACACCAACAGTAGAAGTATCACCTATTACTGAATTTGTTTCACAACCTTGTTCTCCAATAATAGATTATGTTCCATCACGAGGACCAAAAGTTGATATTCTACCACGTAATCCAGTGATCGATTATTTACCTTCATGTGCTATTGATTACAAACCACCGTGTCTTCCATCTTTTGATTTCATACCACAATATGGAGTAGGACCTATAGTCGAATATTCACCTCCTTGTCCGACGTTTATCGATTTAAAACCACCTTGTCCTCCATCTTTTGAATTTGCACAATTCGGACCTGTGATAGATTACTTACCAGCACCGGTAGATTTTTCACCACCGTGTACTCCAGTATTTGATATGGTGCCACAATATGGACCTGTAATCGATTATATTCCACAGTCCGGACCTATTTTTGATTTTGCACCTCCTTGTGCAACTTTTATAGAGCCATTGCCGAACTTTTATGGGGAATGTATAACACCAACACCAGTAAATATACCGACAAATAACTATTGTGGGTTCACTGAATTTGTTACGCCGATGTATGGAATGCCAGAAATTATTGGACCAGTACAATTGGCACCTACTGTACCGAATTGCTACAATGGTGTAAGTGAAGTAATTGGTCCTAGAGTAACAGTAGGACCTGTAGCAACAGAGTTTTTGTATCCTACAAATGTTCCAGCCCAAATGACATGTAATATTGGAAATATACCATCTCTGCCATTTGTCAGCGTGGATCCAATACCTTGTGGATGTGGTTATAACAATGTAGGAAATACATATTTTTATTAATTTAATTAATTCTTTTGTTAATTTTTGTGTTATTAAAGTTATAGTAAGTCTTATAGCATTTTTTTTTATTTTTTTGAAGTCAAATCCCAGATTATTAAGCCACAAAATTCTTTGTCTTCTATTCAAAATTCTAGTGTGGGAACATCATATCCTTTTTTGGTAAGTATGCAAGGAAATTGAATACTCCTTCAAAAATATATAGCTTGATAATAAAATTTGTTTTCAAAAGTGCTTTCATTAAGTTCCCAACTTTTAAAGACGATAAAGTTTTTTCACGACTTTCCTTAATGTTCCCAATTGTAAAGGCTTGTCTTGCTTTTGACTCAGCTTTAAGACCAAATTATCTTAACTTAAGAATAAAAAACAAACTAACAGTATAAATAATTTATTCTTGATTTTAATAAGTTACTAATCTATTTTATAAATAAATACATTCATTTTAAATTACGTAATAAACTTAAAATATTTGGCAGTAAGTCTTTATTACAGGGACTTTGTGCTTGCATTGGCGGCAATGAATTTGTGATCGTAGGAATAAAATTAGTATTCAATGGTGGTTTGATTATGTTCGGAAGAATCGTATTAGAATTAATTGTATTCATAGCAGCGCGTGTAAACGTCGGAGATGTCAATACTTCCTTAATAATAGGCGATGCAAGTTTCATAGCCAGTTCTGAAGAACCTCTATTGCCTTGTAATAAATTACAAACAACCATAAGTTGTAGCGTATCAGCTAAATGTTTACAAATTGCTGGTGAATAATCTGTTATGATAGTTGTAGGTGATGGGAAGATATTCCCAGTTGGAATTTTGTTGATGGAGTTGCAGATACTGCAAGGATTTTCCACAATTGTACCTTGAGAACCATAATATTGCGGTATAGGCTGGGGTAAAATACTTCTAGGTGCTTCTATCATAGCTTCGTTCATCATATTGCACTGTTGTGGTTGGTTCACACATTGTGCTATTGCAAACTGAAAAAAAAAAGTAAATCTATTAAAACAAACCAAAGGACTTTGAATTATTTTTTTAAAAACGTGATAAAGACACAGATTAGAAGGTTATAATTTCTACCACTTCTCAAACAGCGCATCCATAAAGGTTTTAAGTATTTTTCCCGCATATTAAAATGTTACTTTTCTATGTAAATACTCTAAGCTCCTACCTCAAACAAAATAACAGTAAGACCCAACGATTTCCAAAGCTTCATCGTTTCCTATTGACTGACAAGGTATTCTTACTGAAACAGCATATACTTTGGCCATATTATGGAAAAGAAGCCAATATTTAAACATGGCTTATCTTTCAATCGTGTCGTATCAAGAAGTTACCCAACTACATTTTAATTTTAAGATAAAATTTTTCATTATTATTGAAATGATAAAATATTGCCATAGAAATTGTGATAACCAAAGTGAAAACAATCTTAGATTTACGTATTGAAATTGCGAATATATCTTGCGTTATTGCTATTGAAAACTAGAAACCCAATTGGATAAATTGGTTTCCTAAAACTGGCTAATTATGGTGCTAAGAATATTCAAGTTCAAATGTATCTTAATCAGGTAGAAGATTTCAAAAGGAATAATTTTGAAAATAAACTAATGTAATACATACAGCATCTATTTTTTGTATTATACAAAACCCTCCATTTTACAACACCTGTAATACGTAATCAAACTTTAGTATTCGTATTTAAGGTGAGTTTTATTTTTTTATACAATTGTTTCGAAGGTACTTTACGTAGATTGTAAGTTATAACACAATGTTCGTGTCTGTGTTATTATTTTTGGTACCTCTGATTGCCGAAATAGTAAGTCGGTTTTAACATTATTTGATTTTTTTTTATTTTGTATCGGTTTAATCTAGTAACTTCATTGATATGTAAAGCTTATTCCAAGAGATAAAATGTAGATTATTGAAGAAGAATGTCATGTTAAATTTATATCTTGTAATTATTACAGTTTACGGGAAGTTCTGCAAACATGGTTTTAAGAAATCCTCATTGTACTCCACGGACCTTAATAACTGACGGGGGATATGTTGAAATGTGTTATGAAAGACCGAAAAGAAATAAGCAACTGATTCTTCCACCTACTACAGTACAATTACCAAGAGGTCTTGGCTATTTTGCAGCAGCAATACCAGACGTAACAGCTGCATATTTAGAAAGTCTTTCTTATAACGAAATAATACAAGAAATGGATGACATGGTCATACCCATCGTTGATGCAGATAGCTGCATATCAATAGCTTCTCCATTATGCCCCCAGCTCGGTCCATTAATTAATCCTATTATTTTGTAAAAGAAAAAACAACATCGAGTATAGAATATATTTATAAAATGTTTAAGATTCAAAATATGGTCAGGAAAATTCGAGCCGAAATATAATACAAGATTAAAGCAAATTAAAGTAAAAATCCTAATTCACGTTTTTTTTAAGTTATTCTTACCAATGTAATAGGAATTAGTAGTTTAGGATTGGATAATAAAAATATTTTTTATACTTTTGCAGTTTTTAAATTATTTTACCAAAGACAAAATTCTACCTGTCTGTTATTCTGATCACCACTGATCACACTATTTTGAACTGTCAAATCAACTTTATGGAACTTTGAAATTGATGTTCCGGTTTTTCGGATTTCTTATTTAAATTGAGACCTGAGATAAAACCTTCAAAATGGTTGAAGCACAAAAGTACAGAATTGAACAGGAAATGACCAAATTGATCAATGAATTGGATAGAACTTATTTGAGAAAAATGCAGGTAAGATATTTTTAGGTTATGTTCTCAGTCAATATCTGATGATATTATGCAATTTATTTAGAATATAACATAAGTTACAGATGGATTAGTAAAGAAAACCTAATTTGTAATCTATACAAACTTTCTATCATGGGAATACTGATTTTCGTTTATTTCAATAGACGAATTATATTCATATATTCAGATATCATACTATAATTTAACTTATTTTAAGAGATCAGAATATAATATATGAATTATTAGACTTTAGATTTATACCAACTTCCAGGGTGATATGCATAGATGTGCAGCAAAATGTTGCGATGATCCTCAAACATCATTAGAAAGAGTTCACGGATGCATAGATAATTGTACAACTTCATTAAATCAGGCTAATGAGTATGTACAGGTAAGAGAAATGTTACTAAATCTAGTTATTTAATTTTTATAGAGTAGTAATATCCCAGCTCTTTATGGGAAATTAAAAAACTTAATAAGTAGCCTATGTGTTTTTCCAGACTATGTTCTACATCTAGCTAAATGTCATCTAAATCCATTAAGCCAATCCAGAGATTCCTTCAAAGAAACATCCATCCATCAAAACATTTATAATATTAGTAAGAGTAAGAAGTAAGATCAATTCTTAAAACCAATGTATTAATTTCATGTCATTATTTACAAAGTTTGTTTTAAAATCTAGATTTAAACTATATAGGGTGTTCTATATTTTTTAATACCAGTAATAATATATTTTTTAATATTTTTCAGGGTGAAATCAATCACTTCCAAAACAGATTACAGAGATGTGTTATGGACTGTAATGATGCAGCGAGGGATAAACTAGGAGCTAATCCAAGTCAAGAAACAGTTAGTTTTAACTTATTTATCATTCTATTTAGTTCTTAAGTAAATCAAAAGTAACTTGGTGTAACTTTTCTTAATAAAAATGATAGATACTTATTTTTCTTCCAAAGTCAGAAGTGAATGTTACCACTAATATAACAGCTGTACAAAAACATTTTGCTGTCTCAGTTATTGAAAAAATTATGATGATACCTGTTGCACCAAGTTGGCTATCTGATCAATTGGCTTGTTCAAGCACCACACTTCAACGGGTTTAGCTGAAATTTGACATAGTTGTAGAACATAGTCTGGTAGAACATACAGGCTACTAATTAGATTTGATTTTTAATTCCGTGCAGACGGAGTCGCGGAAGCTAGTGTTATATGTTAACAAGTTTCTTATAGTTCCTTTTATCTTTTTTCAGGTTGACAAATGCACTATTAACTTTGAGAAATGTGCTGTTAGATGTGTAGACAAACACATGGATTTGCTTCCAAGTATGATGAAGACGATGAAATCAGTTTTAGCAAGTGGCAAACCACCACCAGTTCAGAATATCTAGGTCACAAGGGTTACAACTTCCACTGCCATTGCATACAGTGAAATATAGTGGATTATTTGACCGCATTTAGTTTTGACAGGACTATACAGTGCAGTTTGTGTAAATGATTTAAGATATTTTAGTTTATAGGTTGGATGTTACACATATTTTTATAATAAATCAATATTGATGTTTAATGTTTTTTTTTTATAACCTTTAATATCCTAAGTCAAATTGTGATTGATAGTATTTTGGTCGTCTTTATAACCGTGGGTTTCTGAGACCAAAGTTTAAAATGTTATTTCAGGTTTGTTAATGATAATAACAGGGATGGTGATATGTTTTAATACAGAGATTTTGATCTTAGAAAACAATGGTAAGTCTGAAAAAACAATATATTGTTGAAATACTGTGAGATTGTGGTTATGGTACTTTCCAGTGAAGTTATTCCCTATGCACCGTAACCCCTTAATTTTATTATTCATTTTTTTTAAAATATATTAACATAGAATATACCTTTTGTTAGATATATTTTGTATCTAGTTTTTTTTTAAATGAATATAACCTTTTTCTAATCTATTTTATATTTTACAATTATTACATTATTTATTATATAACGAAGTGTAATAAATAGGTACTATGTAATAATTCTGAGAAATAATGTTTAACATAGTTAACGGTGGCGTAATTAATTATCAATAAAACATACATAAAAGTTTTTTTATGCGTAGTTTATAAAATTGATAGATTTATAAAATACGACAATAATGTTAAAAGAAATAATTTTAATTGCATTCATTATTAATAAGGTAAGTAAAAATAATACAACTTCCAAGAAAAAATTAATGTTTCTTAATAGATTAATTAAAATGAAGCTTAAAGCAGGTATGGATCAAAGAGTAATTATTCGGTTTTTGAAGTAGAAATGATGTATCTAAATACAGTGAGTTGTTTTCGAATATAAAGGATGATTCTATTTATTACAAAATGTACAGTATTATACGGAGTGTTCTTTTTTTGCATAAAAGTGACAGTTTTAAAACAAATTTTGTTTATTTTTCCAGGTCAAAACCCAGTGTCTACCTTTAGAATATGACAACCAATCGCTTTTATTTTCTGTACCAGACTTAAGTTTCTTGTCTCCAATCCTTGAGCATAACAATGGTGGAATATTTTTAAAAAATAACGGCTATTTAAAAGACGATTTTATGTCACCTTGTCATACTACTGTTACTGAAACACCAGTATTAATATATTTAGATCCCGTTAGTGACATGATATTTTTAAGTTCCTATCCTTTTCAGGAGACTGATTTAAAAAGAAGTGATGTATATCCAAATACATGTATTATGACAATAACAGAGACTTTACTTATAGATTTACCTGATGATGCGTATAATGGTTTGTTTTTCGGTTGTGACGGTTTTCCGCAGACTACGTTTATAGATATAGAATGTTTATCAGAACAAGAGAAATCTATATTTGATTCGTGCACTTTCCCGCCTTTACCACCAGTTTTGGGACGGGGTAAATATTTACGGCAGGTTACAATTCAACCACCTTTCTTTTAAATATTAATAAATTCAAATAACTGTTTATGAAATTTGTTTCATTTCCATTTAAAACATAATTAAATGTAATTGGCAAAACATAGTGATTATTTGGCGACATTTTATCAGAGTTCATTTAAAGAAATATTTAAGGAATTAGATGGAAAATACTTATATATTACTCTTAAACTCTGAAATGATTTTTTAATATTATCAGATTTTTTGTTAGTTTACTAATATTTCTTGTACCGTTCTAAGTAAGCTCTAAGCTTGTGATATAATATGGTTAACGACAGTAATCGAATGGCGGCATTAGAACTCACCAAAAATTGATCGGAAAACCGTACCCTTAACTATTAGACTATTGGCGCTCTTATAATAAGTAGCTAAAATTAAAAAATATATATTATCAAATTAACAAGTTTTTTTTATGATCCGTTCTATTTTTTGCTTAGATTTAACATCATAATATATATACCAGAGATTTGTAATCATTTCTACTACAATACTAAGTAATTTGGACTTCCTTTATTAATTGCTATTACTAATAGGCAATAAAAAAATAAGTATTGTCTTTCTTCAATTATTTGTGTAAGGGATTTTGTTATCTTAAAAGTGAATTGCAAAATATAACGATAACGAGACACGTCTCATTAGATGTAACTTTGATAAAAATACAGCAAGTATTTAATCTTATATGATAATAAAGTTATATAAAATTGCTTAACACATAATGTGATTTCCTTTTATAAAATGAATGCATTTTACATAACGTACATATTTTATTGTATTGAACTAAAACGGTAAGCTTGCTTTAGTTTGCTTGTGCGAATACATTTTTATATTATCCTAATTCTGATTTTTCTATGTGATTGTTTTCCAATTCTTAATGAATTTAAATTAATGTCCGCTCAGACTTCAATCATAGATTGTGCGCAATTGTTAATTGCTTGTTTAATAGCCACCTTATAAAGTGGTTTTCTGAGACCAAAATCCCCGTTTAAGAATATTGTTTTCTCTGTTTTGTCAAAGAACACAGGGATGACGTTATATTTTATACAAAGATTGTGGTGTCGGAAACCCACGGTTAGTGCAGTATTGTCGAAAACAGTCTAGGTTCTTGAAGTTATTTCGATACATATATTTCCATTTTAAAAGGATTACTTCTTATGATAGTAGAAACTTCGCTAAATAAAAATTTAAACTAATTTATGTCTTTTCTTTCAGATAACAATGTGGTTACTAAACACATTAACAGTTATTATTTCTTTGCATATAACATTAATAAGTGCTCTCGATCCACAACAATATGCATTAGCGAATGCCTTACAAAATATTCTGTCACCAGCAAATACAGAAAAAGCGTTACAGATTATTCAAATGGCTGCCAATCGAGAACTAAACAATGTACCATGCATTGAAGAAAATATATCACCAATTTCAAAACAATCGAATAGACGTATGATACCAATTGGAGCTTTACAACGCATTACAACGCCAAATGGAGAATATATCATCAAACAAACCCAGCATTCTCAACCTAATGTACCAGTATCACAAAATATAGAAATCGTACCTAATGCTCTGCCAGTACATAATCCTGCAGAAGTTATACCTAAATTTATATTACCTAATCAACCGCAAAATATAGAAGCCCTACCTTCTAATTTTCTGCCATTAAACCCTGCAATCATGTCTAAATTTACAATGCCTAATTTACCATTCATGACACGTGAAATCCCTCAAGCACCATTAGCTAAAGAACTTTGTCCATGTGCACAAGGTTTGGTAAATCCATTCTTACCAGCAGCTTCACCTATATCAGCGTTATCTCCACCGACATCAAATCTCCTACCTTCTGCATTTCCAATGCAATCAAGAGGACATTTCTTAAGGAAAATACCAATTCCACCGCCAACTTTGTAGATTTAAGTTCTTAGATGTATGTATTTATTTATTTAAATTTGTGTTATAAATTATTTGAAATAAGTATTAAAAATTATCATCGTATTGTCAAGTTTTTAATTTATAGATAAACCTATGCAGTTAGTAAATAATTGTGAGTTAGTAATCAACTGAAGATAGTTAACTTACATAAATATTACGACAATAGTAAACTGTAATATAATTGCTAGATTTTAACTACATATAAGGCTATATGATTTGAAATTTAAACATTAATTTGTTGGTCCAATAACAAGAATGATAGAAAAGGTCTTAACTATTATTACTATTATTAGTACAGTAAGTATCAATTACTATGAAAATTAATAATTCCAATAACATTTCCAATAACCTGTACTGATTTGGATTTTCTTTTCAGGCTAATGGTCAACTTTATCCAGTCACAATTCCTTGTAGTCAAGGAGGAATTTCATCAATTGCTCTGCAGCCTGTATATGCTAAAGTCCGTGCAGCACCGACGCCATCTTTAGCTGTTCCACCTTCTGTTTTAGCTCCCGTTCCTCGGGCTGTGATACCAAACACCAATATTGCTCTTCCAAAACAATTAGTTTGTCCTTTAGAATATTCAATTATAGGACCATCTTTACCATTGCCAACCCCACAATTATGTGAACCGTGTCATTCCCCATTATCGATTCCCGCTTATCCGGAGTATGTTTTAACAGATTATACAAACGATTTGTGTGTACCAGAACCAGTTTTTGATATATTGGGATGTTTGGACCCAATATTAACACGTTATGGTACGATAAGTGAAGTTTTGATACCAGAAATACCTCAGAATCCATTAATCAGTCCTTTTCTACCGGCTGCATCACCAGTGTCTCCGTTAGCACCTCCTGTTTCTCCATTATTACCGCCTGCTTTACCCTCCGAATGTTCTTGCCATTTCCTCAAAAAGATAGCGATTCCACCACCGTTCATATAAAGCACAATTGTTAATTTAAGCATGTTTAGTTTATTTATTAAATATGTATCTTAATAAATTTAAATTAAATAAAGTTCATCTTTTGGTTAAAAGTATTTTTTTTTAATTATTTATTACTAGCTGTCGCCCGTGATTCTGTCTGTGCGGAATTAAAAAAAAAATTTATTAATAGCCTGTGCGTTCTTCCAAGCTATGTCATCTATGCCAAATTTCAGAGAGATCCATGCAGCCGTTTTAGAGATACATTCTAACAAACATCCTTCAATCCATCCATCGAAACTTTCGTGTAGGTAAAATGTTTCTATTCTCTAATTCTAAACCAAATAAATGATGGCCTAGGTATTACAAAAAACGTAGTCGTGTAACTGATCGGCTGGAATGTTGAAATAAATGAAAATTTGTGTTAGATATTTATTTGTTAAAGGTCAAGTATTAGACTACTACGGTAATTGAGTAGCATAAAGATTGTAACGCTCTATAAATGCTTCATAAAGGGTTGATAATCTGAATATAAGTAAATAATAGTCGCCAGTTCTACGGCCAAATATTTACTTTGACACTGAATACATTTTTTGACCGTCAATTCCTAGTCTTAAAGATTTAATTCCTTTTTTGCCAATGTAAAACCAAAATAGATTTGACAGCGGTGGGATTCGAACCCACGCCCTTTCGGACTGGTGCCTAAAACCAGCGCCTTAGACCACTCGGCCACGCTGCCCTTGATATCCAGCGTTATATTGCGGCTCCATTATTC